TGAAAAAATTACAATTAGAAATATTGCAACAATTAGCAATTCTTTGAGGTATGTAACTGTCAATTAAGTCAATCAGAATTTAATCAGCTAGTCTTTTCACGGAAATAATCTATGTATATTAGTAAAATAATAATTATGCTAGTCTAATAATTACTAATAATTAGCAAAATATAAAACGTTTTCCAGGAATTATTATAAAGCATATATTATTCAAGGAGATTGCAACCTTCAGTTCCAAAAGAAACAGATAGCTTTCCAGGAAATAGATATGTCTTGTTATCGAGTGCACATATCGTATTATTTTAATTGCCTTACAACAGCCTTTGCTTGGCTCGATTTTTTTTCAATTTGATGCTTATTTTCTGTAAAAGATAAATTTATTATTTCATATTAGTTTGAGTTGGTGATGCAGATTACGATAAATTAAGTAAATTGTTCTGAATATTAATTCAGATATTAGAGATTCGCGATGCAATTATCTTTGACTGGTCAAACGAACTAATCAGAACAAGAATTATCGATACATGATAAAATAGTATTGCTTCATACGTCAATAAAAAATATTGTATTCAGATAATAATAAAATCAAACAATCAAGATTCAAGAACACACAATGTTAAATTTAACAGAACTTACACATTTATAATTTTTTCTTAGAAAAATATTAACCATTTGTCTTAACATATGTACATACGTTTAGGACGGAAGAGAGGTAAGAAAGTATTTTAGTATAAAAAAGGCACAGTATAAAAAAAAAGTTCGTTTATATAGTACACTAAATATTTTTTTATTTAAATTATTTAACCTCCGTACATCACTTTAACACGTTCGCTACTACAGTGTGGTTGGAAAAACCGATCCTACAGCCCAAGCTTTTCTTGTGATACTTTTACACAACGTCCAAAACAAACCTCATTTCTTTACATAATCATAAACATAAAATCTTAACGATGTCACATATATATAATGCCGGATTCTCGAAACAAACTGGCGTATCATACGTATGTAACGCGTGATAGCGAAAGTGTTAATTTAAAAATTCATAATTTTTTAGTACAGTACTTTACAAATGATAATTTATTGCATTATATGATCACTTCACAATTTAATTAATTCCTGGATCTATATTATGTATGGATCCAAGTAACAGTATCCGTTACTATACAGAATTAATAATTATGTTTGAGTACTCTTGAAGAGTAGTATTTATATCCAAGCATATTCGCATCATTTGATTTCCTTCATCGAATTCGTTAATCCAAGATTCTCTAATAATGCTTGTGGGCTCGGATCTCTTCCCCTAAATTGCCTGAATATCTCGGCGGCAGGATAACTACCACCCAAAGATAAAAACGTGTTACGGAACCTCACGCCTAACTCCTTCTGCTGTGATTCATCAAACTTGATCTCTTGAAAAGCCGTATATAAATCGGCAGCTATCATCTCGGACCAAACTTTGCTGCAATTTAACGATTAAACAGATTAGATCAGCGCTTGTACATTGTAAACAACTACTAACAATTATATGAACAACTGTGCTTTATTACTTCATTAATAGAAAAATTTCACACACATATATTCTAAATTTTTCGGCATCGCTTGTAGACAAGTAGACCGAACTAAACTGAATCGAAAAGTGCTTTCACAATTTTCGCAATAGTTAACGACAGATTAATTTCTAAAGACTGCCGAATAAGCGGGTAAAATCGGCGTATAAAATATCTTTCAGAATTCTTTATAAGATAAAATTTACTCCTTTTTTTCTTTGTTTATCTTTCAGAATTCTTTATGAATTATATTTAAAGGATGCTTTTTAAAGAATTCTTAAAGATATCTTAAAGTTGTTTTATGCTTCGATTTCAGATATTCTGCTCATTAGGTAATTTAAAAAATTGTAAAAATTACAAAATGATAGAAGACCTCGACTCAATTTAGTTCGCTCTACATGCCCACAAGCGGTGTATCAAAAAGTTTGAGACATCCTGTATAATTTGAAATAACAATTATTGTATACATAACTATCTTAAATTAAAATCAATTTGCAAGAATTCTCCAATTCATATAAAATTGATAGATGATACCTGAAATACGCAGCTCCCCAATTACCACTCCATATAACATCGAAATTGCAAACATGAACGTCCCTTTTTTCGAGTGGCAACACGAAATATTTCGGCCATAGGCGTTTCATCATAGCCACCCAAAATGTTTCACTGTAATTTTTTTCAAAAATAAAATTAAGCGATGTAAAGATCAATATTGTTTCAGAATCGTCGAATTATTGTATTGAGAGAACGACAAGCGTTTATTTTATAAGCAGTGATGTAATAAGATATACATCATATACATGGTGTTTAAGACCATCTGTACACTCCTTTTAAAATAAAGTGATTTTTATCAAAAATCTTCAAAATTTAGTAATATTAAGTACACCTTCATCAAATGATGTTTTCAACTTCGGGTTCCAATTAAAAATAGGATCTATTGATCTTGAAATAATCTTGAAAATAAATAAAAAAATAAAGGATTTTAAAAAGAAACTGATTTCTGCCCAAAAAGGTGTAAGTAAAGTTTTTTTTTTTTAGATTTTGGCCTTCTGAATACGATGATACAATTATTAAGAAATTCGCAGCGTTTGAAAATACTTCGAAAATTGAGCACAAACAAAAAAATTTATCTGAATTTCGATATTCTTACTTAATTTTCGAGTTGTTCCCCAAACGCAATGACCTATTTAATAATTTTATCGTATCCAGAAGGTCAAAATTTAAAAAGAAAAATACTATTCCTTTTATTTACACTTTTTTGAATAGAAATCGGCTTCTTTTTAAAATTCTCCTTTATTTTTCATTTATTTTCAAGATTACTTCAAGATCAATAGAAGCATTTAAAAAAAATTTAGAACAAGTTTCTTGTTTTTTTCATATATAACATATTGTACATTAGAAAATAGCACGTTACATTTAAAAAATTCATCCGTTGAGTGACCCATTTTCGGTCGAAACTATAAGTTGAAAATGTTACTATTCGATAAAGCATAATTATATTTCTCTTAAATAATTTAAGAAAAAAATTCAGGATTTAATTCAACAAAGATTTTTTGCAAATCAAGGTTTCACCTGGAATGCAGCTCCAAATCCAAATGTGACAAGTAAAGTTCTTTACAAAGCTTATAGCCAGCCAAATGCGACCTCATCTTTTTAATGCTGTCGATAGCCTCCGCAGGTAATGGTTCTTTCGTTTCGTAATGTTCAGAGATTTTTTGCAACATAAATGGTTCGTACAACCTGTATCCATCAAATATATACACAAAATTAAATTACATATTAGACATTAACTTATTAATTAATTAATTGCAATATTGATACAAGCATACTAAAAATATGAAAAAAGTAGATAAATGAATAGAATAAATAAAAATAACTTTATTTTATACCAGTTCTCCATGAAGAAATCACAAATAAATACCGCGTCCCATTCCACAAATGACAAACCAGCAATATCAGAGTACTCGATCGTAGTTAGCAAATGTTGCAAACCGTGTCCAAACTGTAATGTGCAACAAATAAAAGATTAATGTTTTAACAAATTAAAGATGTATATATAAATCTATTATAATTTTATAAATAGTATAATATATGTAGTCTATTACCTTTTGGAAAAGAACCTGTACGTCCTTGAAGGAAAGAAGAGAAGGTTTATCGCCTATCGGTGGCGGAAAATTGAAGATCATAGCGATCAAGGGAGTGCTATTGCCGACTTTGCTCTTGCTTTTGATCGTGGAAACCCATCCCGAGACCTGTTCATTACGGAACTTCTCCGTTCCTCTGGCGTAAGGATCTAGATAGAAATTCGCGATGGGTGCCGCATTGGATCCGTTCAAATCGAATATGTCGAAGAACCGGACATCCTTATGCCAAATGTCCGCTTTCTTGCTTTCGACGATTTTCACATTAAAGAGCGTCTCGATGTGTTTGAAGAGACCCGACAACACAGTCGGCAGCGGAAAATACTCTCTCCACTTGTTTTCGTCACTGAACGAACACGGAGTTAAACAAAGTACTTAAAGATATATTATTGTACAATATTTTATTCGATATTATAAACTTTTAGCAAATATCAATAAGTATCTTAAATGATGCTTGAGTTCTACAATGCAGGATATTTTATAATTTCTTTCAAATAATTATATTCTCTTTAAAATGCAATCGCGCGAGCGCAACATAATTCTTTAATATATAACAAATACATATATAAAAAAAAACAACTTTTCAATATGATATTAAATATATGTAGGATATTTCTTATGCCAATTTACTTACATATACATGCTATGACGTTGTTTTCTACCCCAATATGCAACATCCCATACTCTTATAATATCATTGAAATCTCTCGCTTTTGCAAATTCGGTTAAATTTGCAATTTCCTTTTCCTGAATCGGTAATGCTAAAAAAAAACAGATAATTATTCAATTTTATGTAATTATTAATTAATCAATTAATATTATCA